TGACAGCACAGCTCATTGGCACATTAGGCCGCACCCCCATGTTACCAGAAGTGTGGTTATCCAGCCACACCCACCTTTTGCTTGTTATTCTGTTTACCTTGTTTGTTGTCAAAACCCAGGGCCGTTTTTTGTAGCAGGAACTTCTTTGCATGTTAGGCCACACACCCCTAATGTAGCCAATCCTAATGAGTTTCTGCTGTTGGGTGTGGCCTATTATGCTAATGAGTTCCTGCTGGGTGTGGCCAACTTGGGAGCCAGCCGGAACTCCGTTCCTGTGCGTTCCTGCCCAAAAATAGCCCTGTGTAGAAGTGTCCTCATTTTGGTATTTCATCAATGAGTGAGGCCCAGGCATACATGAATGTGTTACAGACTCAAGAGAATTAATCCAAGATTCTGCATCGACAATCTTAAATTACATACTATGCGCTCCTTCCTAAAAGGGTGATTCACTCACCTGCAGTTTTTAAAACTTACAAAAATTTGAAGTGGGTGATCTTGTGGCGTATGAAGCAAGTTTTCAGGAGCTCTAAGGTTTAGGAGGGAGGTTTCTATTTCCAAGGATTCGTCCTCTTTTGGCTGGAACAAGGCAAGGCGCAGCCTCTCCTCTGAAGCAGGAAGTACTGGGATCAGCTCTTCCTGATGAAAGGGAGACAATCAATGTTTTGTTTTGTATTTGTTCCATCTTCTGGAGGTGCATGTTGGGCATATCTCTGTTCCCTTCTTTGTTACAGGTATTCAAACCTGGGCATGGCTGGAGATGGGAGGCAAAAGGGGAAAGCTGAAGGAGTCTTGGGCCTTGGCTCTCAGCCCACGGCTCATGGCCTACCGTCCTGAGTGAGCCGGGCCAGTGGACCCGAGATTTGCCCAGGATGTTGTATGATATATTTTTCCCTGCTTGTCTAAATTGTATTTGTTGTGTTTCTTCGTAAGATGCTTCAAGTCCCCATTGAGGAGAAATATAGGGTAGAAATGCTTAAAGATCAAATAAAAGAAGAAATGATTTTTTTTTAAAAAAGCAAAGAAATGCTGGACCAGCGAGTTACCTCTGCACCCTTCCTCAGAGTCTGAGAATACTTTGGAACTTTGTAGCTGATCGCTGCATGATGTATGCAGAACGGCTGATATGCCATAAGCCTGAAATGCTGAGGCACCTGGGGGCAAATGGGAAAAACATTGCAGGAAGTTAGACAGTCTTAATAATCCAATGAAACTATCCTTATCAACATTTATGTGCTTTCACATAACACAGTGCTCAGGAGATGCTTATCCACATTTCCAGTCCCCTTACACTATTCAGGCTATATCTGATTGTATTATAGATGCTACTTATGAGGTTGATTTAAAAGGTTTCTTACATATCATGTGCAAATGTAAGAAATCTGAAAAACTGCCGATCCAAATCTGTGCACTCGAATAAAATGTCTAGGGCTGCATTATCTCAGTTAGAGAAGATGCCCAGGCAGTTCAAGTGTAGGAGAGCTATGCTCTAGGACCACGATCATCCCTCTCCATAACTTAGTACAGACAGGATATTAGTGTGGAGACCAATTTATTCCGATGGCCTGGACCTGAACTTAGTCAAGTTGTACCAAGTACGCCAAGTAGCCAGACACAGAGGAAAGCTTTCTGAACCACATCTCCACCCAGTACTCAAGAAATGGAAGTTTCTTGCCTTCTCCCCTCCCACTGCAGCCTGCTAATCACCATGAAATGAAGAAGAAGATGATGATGATATTGGATTTATACCCCGCCCTTCACTACCCAAAAGTGTCTCAGAGCAGCTTACAAACTCTTTTCCCTTCCCCTCCCCACAACAGACACCCTCTGAGGTGGGTGGGGCTGAGAGAGCTCTGACACAAACTGCTCTTTTTTCAAGAGCAGCTCTTATCAAAACTACGGCTTGCCCAAGGTCATCCAGCCAGGTACAAGTGGAGGAGTGGGGAATCAAACCCGGTTCTCCCAGATTAGAGTCTGCGCACTTAACCACTACACCAAACTGGCTCTCTCCTGGGGGACAGGGGACCCTGAGGAATGACATGAGGGAAGGGGGAAGCAATGAAAATTGCCAGTCTACTCTGGATCCAGCCCAGGGATTAGTGAGTTGTTGTGTCTGACCTTTAGTTCAAAGAAGTGGTGAAGGTGTTTAATCGGAGTTTCAATAGACTTGACAGGAACGGTACCAAGAACTTCAGGTAACTGGGGAAAAAAAGGTATATATGTTGATAACCGATTTTTGATGTTATTCAGTCATCCAGTACAAAAAGGCTGGCATGCATTTTCCACAGTTATTAATTTTGTTCGCGTTATTTACTATATATTTACTATATTTACGTGGGAAAATACATCCACACTCAGTGAAAAACTAGCTTAATTCTCATTGTAAGACATGGTGGGATGCTCACAGTGGTGAAAGAGATAGCAAGGAGTTACAAACAACTGGCTGCACCATATTGCATTTGCTGCCGTTTCCAAGGATGTAGCCAGCTAGAGACTGGGGCCTGCAATGACAGATGCAGTAACCATGATAATCTAATCCACCCCTACCAGAAGTGATCCTAAATATCCAGAGTTACCCCACTTACTGCTGCCCCTTCGAAGGTTGCAGAAGGGTGTGTATGTGTAGCAATCTCGTAGGCCCCAGGTCTTCCTACTGTACTTCCTTCCTTGCCCATGGAGGTGGCGACTTCTGAGACTGGCTCTCTAGGTTCCTGTTCTCTGACAGGAGAGGTCAACTCAGAGATCCAATAGTAGCTTCCTCCGGGGTAAATTCCAGAGAGGTAGCTCCACTCCTCTTGGGTCCTCAACACTTCTCTTTCTCCCTTTGCCTCCTATCATCCTTTCTTTTCTGCCCCTTTGAGCCCCTAGCCCAGTTGCTCAATCTTGTTTAGTCTTAAGTTTTTCTGGGCTCAGAGAACCGACCGGCATTACCACCCATTTGGGCGTGACAACTTGGATTTGACAGTCTTGTTTATGCCAGATTTGTAACCACAGGAAGCTCTCTGCTTGAAAAGACACGTTGGACTCTGTTTCTTTATTTTAGATGTTTTGCAATTTGCTTCTCTCCCCAATAGGGAATCCAAAGTGACTTGCAACATCATTCTCTTCTTGTCTGTTTTGTCCCCACAACAACCCACCCTATGAAGGAGGTTAGGCTGAGAGAGAGTGACTGGCCCAGTGTCACCCGGCAAGCTTCCATAGCACAGTGGGGATTCAAAGCGTGACACTGTAACCACGGCCCCATTAAAAACCATTTTGTTTATAGTTGATGACATCATGGTGGTACTTACCAACTCATCAGCCCACCGAGGTGGACTGTAAGTGGGAAATTCAAAAGGTAGGAGGCGACGTACGGTCAACAGAAAACGCACTCTCTTATCCAGCTCACTTATTGCAGCCATGCCAGTACTATTTTCTGCTGAATAGAGACAGACAAGCAACTGGTGTGAATGGTAAGGTCATGTGTAGCAAGTATGAAAGAGTGACACATCCCCCACTGAAGATGAGCTGTGGAGAACCAACTCGTCTTACTCCAACTGTCTAGAGAGGAAATGTCCCCCTTGTACACCTTAGTGGGAACCAGTGATTTCTGTGGTACCACAACACGTGGCTCTGCTTCCTTACTGATTTATTTCACAGTAGAACGAATTTAGAGTCCAGTGGCACATTTAAGACCAACAAAGTTTAATTCTGGGTATAAGCTTTCTTGTGCATGCATACGTCACAAAAGCTTATACCCAGAATTAAACTTCATTGGTCTTAAAGAAGCCACGAGACCCAAACTGTTGCTTCAGACCAACATGGCTACCCACTTGAATCTTATTTCACAGTGTTTGTGATGTTAAAGCCTACCCCCTAGAGGACAGGAGGATGCAGCACACACAAAGCCTTGGATGGCCAAATTACAGAAGCCATCTTGAAGAAGGATTTTTCGAGCTGTTGTAGTATAATGAATACTAAGTCTTTACCATATAAACTTCCTGCACTGAAGTGGCCTTAAGTAGATAATTTAGATAATGTTTACGCTGATCTTAGCCAAGAGGTCTTAAGTAGATCTTTGGGTTCCTGTAATTATTTTTCATGTTTTCAAATTACATCTGTTTATAAGGAAAACTAATGTTTTAGAAATACCTGAGGGTTTATCTGATATCAATGTTTCTTCTTTATCTCGAGTTTTACATAGTGCATCTAGTACATTTAGCTGACGCTTTAGGCGGCAATAAAGCAGAATCTGAAGGAAGGAAGGGAAACTGTTAAATAAACTTTCAGCATTAGTCTGGCACACAGAAATGCAAGTTCAAAATCTATCCAAAACATCAGTGTCTACAAATGAAAACATTTTTTCACATTCATGTTATTGTTTAAAAGATGTAACGATTTCCCCTATAAAGTACATATGGAGACTTTTTACAACAGAAGTACTTTTTCACAAAAACAAATGAGGATCTTTGTGGGCAGGAATGTAAACCAGGGCTACAGTTCCACAACAGAGGCTAGATCAAATGGATTTTTGGTTTTATTTTAAAGAATGCGATGATCTCCTACAAAAATTATGAAATATCCTAGCAATTTTAAGAAGATCTTGGAAATGAAAACTATGCCTGTATATGCATATACCAATGCAAACATACTCATATATATTTACCTGAGAAAATTTGTTTCAGTACCTTTCGAGCAGCCTGCTGGAACCGCAGCAGATTCCCGTGCCTGTGGTCCCAAGGGTTGTTAAGCAGGAGATCAAATGTAGGCTTGAATTTGGGGCACTGTACAGCAGGCAAAAAGTGGAAGTGACTCTTCAGAATGAATTTGGTTTCTCATTAACAGCATATTTAGACTGGTGAATTAGTATCCAAAACTGCATTTATATACACGTATACTTCACTGATTGCAGTGGAACTTATTTTGAAGTAAGTGTACCTAGGACTGCCGTCATAATCAAATAATCAACAGTATGGGTCTTTTCTTCGTCCTCAACTCTGTTATCAGTCAGCTCTAAATGGGAACCAGTTATGAACTCTATTTTATCTACAGCTCTGTTCCAGTCCATCATTTAAGCTGTGCACACACTTAATGCTCTGTCACATGCAATCCCCACGTGCACAGGCGCACTCCCCACCCACCCTAACAAGAGGCGTCAACAAAAGACAGCAGACGACTTTATTTGGATTACTTGACATGGAATGTGAAGAGCTCCATTTCCTTCTGCTGTAGTCCCCATCCACCATACAACTCCAGCACAATAACATACCTCCTCGACCTTTCGGATGACACGCTTGACAGAGGTTTCCGCTTTCTTCCTTTGAAACTCCATCTCCATAATGGGATCTCCTCTTTTAATCTGGCTCGGCACCAAGAAATATAGATCTGTGTCAGTAAATTAACTGATCATTAATCAAAATTTTATATTAATGTTAAGTAAAACTGAACCAGTGCAATCCTAAACAGAGTTATACCCTTCCAGGTCCATCAAAGTCAACAGGCTCAGAAAGTTTTAACTGTTTTTAGGATTGCATTTTGTAGGTTTTCTGTGATGCTTTACAGTGCAAGTAGAACAGAGCGGTACAATGTTACATGCCATGGCTTCTGATTTTAATTCATACACCTCCAACCCGCACACACACCGCCCAGAACAATTTATTAAAGGGTATATACATTATACATGTATGAATGAGCAGCAGTACCAGATCTTGAGGAAGCAATTGTTTATTTAATATGCAAAGTGCTTAATTTTTAAAATAGCTCCTCAATAAATGATTCAAAACAGTAGTTTTGTTTTATAGATGGGGAATTAAATTTGAGGTCTCAAGACTTGCACAAAGTCTCCCAACTGGGCTCATAACTGAATTAGATTTGAACAAAATCCTCCTAAGATTGACAGTTCATCAGTGGTCTATGATTTATATTTGGCAAAGAGAACTCCACACTTGATAGATACTGTCAAAGAGTCACAGGCAATGTAACTGTAATAATTAGAACAAAGTCGTGAGAACTGGTAAGCCACAACTGGTTTGTTTTCATCACATCACAGGATTCTTCTTCAACCCAACAGCTAAGATAGCCCTTCAGTCAACTCCACCCTCCCATGAGCTTCAGTTTTCTTTAAGCATGACATGTGAACCCTTAAGACAGGGTCTCAACTATTCAGATCAAAATATACCTTATTTAGTTCAAGATGTCAATGCAAGTGTTTTTAAGCATCAGATGGGAGACCACTCCCTCTCCAGTAGGCCTCCTCTTTGCTACCACAGATAGATGGAGCCAGGGGTCATTTCGTAGAAAAAGAGCTAGGGGGACTCATTAGCATAACTCATTAGCATATGCCACACCCCCTGACATCAGGGGCCCGGCGGTGGACCTGCAAGGCCAGCGGGAGTGTGAGGAAGCCCTGCCAAGGCCCTCCCTGGCCCCAGGCAGGCAGGGGTGGGAAGAGGCGGGGAGGAAGCAACTTACCCTCCCTCTTCTCCTGCCTCCTCCTGGCTGAATGAGGGCTGGAAGCGGGGCAGCCGGAAGCAGAGGGCGGGGCTTTGTCATGTGCCCTGCCCCCCTGCACCTCACCCGGGGGAACTGTGTTCCCCCGCGTTCCCCCCCGAAATGACCTCTGGATGGAGCTATTCTCCTGAATAGGGCCCAACTGCTGCATGAAATGTATAACTCTATCCCGTAATTTTAAAAATGAAGACATATTCTAACCAGGTACTGCTTTTCAGCTCTCTGCCGATCTTCCAGAATCTGGTTGTGAAGAGCCAAAGACATGGGATCTTTCACTAAGTGGACTGGCCTGCATTCAAAATGGAGAATTAATGGTTTCACTTTAAGCGTTCAGCTCAGGCAAAGTGGGGTCAGATGTGCTCTTAAAAAAGCAAGCTAATGATGCTCCCACATGGATGAAATCAACCCAATACAAAGATGCTGTAGATTTTGTACCTATAGGGCCAAAACAGATGTTACTTGAGAGAGCTGTAATCAGGAATACAGACACAGATTGGAACAGCAGTTTAATTCTCTGTCCCAGGCTATGTCTCTAATTAACAGCTGGATTGAAATGTGATACTGATGAGGAAAAAGTGTGCTGAATGCATGGGTAGCTGTCCAGTTTAAAGGGGATGTATGAACACAAAACTCCCCGATGAGTTCTCTTGCCTCAACCACTGTCATTTTTTTCAATCAGGCCTAAATCACCAGCTTCTCCCCACCACACCCCTGAAGGTACTCTTTGTCTTGCTGCGGGGGAGGGAGACATTTGTGAACAAACTTTTGTGAATCAGAGCTCATTTCATCAGATATACGGAGTGTCCTATTGAAATCAAAAGGATTTCAAACGGCTTAATTTGGTCTGGACTACATTTTTTAACTGCATTGTTTGCAATACTGCCTTAAAGGCATTCGTATTAGCACATGAACAAACTGTAGACCAGGGATCCAAATGTTTTATCACTGATTTTGTTTATTTATCTATCATTTAGATTTATAAATCACTGAATCCCTTAGTACTAAGGGCTCTGAGCGATAAACAACAGCAATAAAACATAATCAGAACAATTCCAACAATTTAAAAACTAATCAAAACAGTTTCACATATAACAGTATTCAGATGGTGATAATACATCTAATTTCAACAGTGTCCTCTTCTCATGGGGGGTAGGTGGGAACACAGTTGGAGGGGGGGGGAGAAGGGGGGAGTGCCAGCCAAGGTGGTGTCCATCGCTGTCCTCAACCACAGGCTGTTCAGCTACAGAGCCACAGAACATTAAAAAAAATCCTAAACACTGTGAACTACTTTGGACTACTCATCATCAGATACAAGCTGTAGTGCAAAATAATTTTTTCCACCAATATACAAAGCAGCAGTATTCAGTAAGTCATGAAAACTTGGTAAAGGTAAAGGTAAAGGTTCCCTTGCTCGAAAGCCAGTCGAGTCCGACTCTAGGGTTGCGGTGCTCATCTCCGTTTCAAAGCCGAAGAGCCAGCACTGTCCGAAGACATTTCCGTGGTCATGTGGCTGGCATGACTAAACACCAAGGCGCACAGAACGCTGTTACCTTCCCACCGAAGTGGTACCTATTTATCTACTTGCAATTTCTTGCTTTCGAACTGCTAGGTTGGCAGGAGCTGGAACTAGAGATGGGAGCTCACTCCATCATGCGGCACCCGGGTCTCGAACTGCTGAACTACTGACCTTCCACAGCCTGCAGTTCAGCGTCTTAACCACTTGAGCCACCGCAGCTCCTATGAAAACTTGGTAGAGTCCACATAAATTCATTTCCCCCCTCTTGCACAATGTAAGGCATCGCTCACCATTTAAGCTGATTAATTTCTTCCTCCTGGATGTCCTGCTTGACTTTCAACTCAAAGACAGCTTCTTTCACTTGCCTCGTTCTAGCTCCTCCCTCATTTTGGCCTCCTAAGACTGCAGGATGCAAATACCAATGGCTATTAGATGGGACATTCCAGAGATGGCATGAAATAAGCCCTTCTGTTATCACCAATAACCCCAGCTGCAAATGATGAATTATTAAATTTAAACTGGCCTTTAGGGGACTTTGAAACATGGAAACTGCACAGATTACACTGTAACAAAAATCTGCTTAAAAAGAAAAACAAGTTCATATCCGAGGATGATGCCTCGGCCAATACGAGATTGTCTAAACTAACGTATCTGCTTGGTACTGAATCATAACACCTTAAACCACAAAGTGGAATAAAGACTCTGGTCATTATTCCTAATTAGAGTCTGGCATTTTCTGTCTTGAAAATGTTTTCAGCTTTCCCAAGTTCTTAACACAAGCTAAAACTCACAGTAAGGTGCAGTTGAAGGTATAAAACAGTTTCTAGGAAACTGAAATGGATAACCAATGGTTTTTATTACATGTCATAGATATGAAGTAGAATGCAGGTGCTCTGGGAAACAGTTAAAATTGTAATATATTTATTTATTTAAAACATTTTAATGCCACCTTTCCACTCAATCATAATGTTTCTGTTTCTCTATTGATTTTCTAAGTCCATTTCCCAATCATGACCACCTTTTAAAAAACAAAAAAACAAAAACAAACCAAGAACCCTGCTGAAGTGGCCGTTCTGTGTCTTGGGCACACCACACCTGTTTTCGCTGTTTGTTTAAATGTCGGCCAAACACGATGAGCTTTGTTTTAAATGCTTGTTTCCTTACCAATGAAGCCTTGATTATGTATTTGTATTAATCTGATATTAAATAAAATATTTTTTAAAAAATGGCAAACATTAAAACAATTAAAATTATAAAATTCAATTAAAACCATACACAAACAACATTAGAAGGAGGGCCCGTAACTGTTACTGGGGGTATGCCAGACCACAGAATAACCAGTCTTCACCTGCTGGTAAAAGACACTGATAGCGGGAGACAGACAAATCTCCCTGGGGAGAGAGTTCCAAAGTTTGGGCATTATCGGTGTCCATGGTGGTTTATAAACTACATGAAGACAATTTCCTGTCCCAAAGATCTTACCATTTAAAAAACTGACATAAAGGAAACGACAAAGGCAATGGAAAATGGTGGAGAAAGGGGCATATCATGAAAAGCATACACATCCCTTCCAATTCCACATATTCAGGCTTCATTTGAAAGGGGTTGGGGGTTATGCCAGAGGCTTCCTAAAAAAGGGAGGATCGCAGGGCTCTTTCTGTAGCAGGTACTCCTTTGCATATTAAACGACACACCCCTAATGTAGCCAATCCTCCAAAAGCTTACAGTAGCCCCTGTAAGAAGAGCTCTGTAAGCTCTTGGAGGATTGGCTACATTAGGGGTGTGTGGCCTAATATGCAAAGGAGTTCCTGCTACAAAAAGAGCCCCGAGGTATCATGAGTCAGGTGTTCTGGGAGGCAGCTGCAGCCCTAAGCAGCACCAAAGGAGAAGGGGTTGGGCCATTTACAGGAAGAGAAGTCTTGAGGACACTGGAGCTGAAGAAGCAGAGGACCCAGGCAGGGGTGTGTCCAGACATGAGAGCAGAGGGGTAACGGAGAGTTTCCAAGGCAAGCACAAAGAGCTCACGCTGAATGCAGCAGGAGACCAGGAACCAGCATGGGAGTTACAGGAGGGGAGTCATGGGGTCAGACTGATGAGAGATGAGAATGAACTTTGTGGAAGACTGCCAGATAAATGTGAGGGAGCCAAGGTGTGACAATGGAAGACCAGAGAGAAGGTTGTAGCAGTCAAATCAATTGATGACCAAGGATGCAGCAGCACATTTCCCCCTCCCCCCCCCCATTTTTGATATCTAGGCTGTAACTTCTCCTTGACCCTGAAAGCTGGTACTTTCCAAGCGTTTTGTGTGAAAATCACAGCAAATATTAAGCTTGCTGCCGCCATTTCTGTTATGTCCAGAAATGACAGCCGCATATCATGCACTCCATGCAAGCACGTGGCACTCAGTGTTGTTACCTTCTCTTAACTGTTTTATCTTCATTTTGCCTGGTTCCTGAATTAAAACAGTAGCCACAGCATAGGGATTTGACAGATCTGTTGGGAACTGAAGGTTTTTATAGTCGATGGTCTATGAAAGAAAATACAACATGTCAAAACAGCCAATGGGTGAGATTTCATTTCCACAAACTTTTCGGAGTCTCCCCCCCCCCCCAACAATGTACCTTTAATTTCTGTAGGGGACATTTATGTTTTGGTGGTGCCATCTGCTGTACTAGGCATGTCGCTGCTTTTTCTGGAGCCATTGGTTTTCTCTGCACAGTTGTCACTTTCTTCTCAAAGTCCCCTTTTCTGGATTTTGAAAAAGGCACATGAGCAGAAGTACAGTTTGGGGATGTGGATAACAAAAAGTTGGGAGTCTAGAACTTTGGGTACCTCCTCACTTCTCTTTGACCGGCAAGCAAAAGCCACCCATTCACTCCTCGTCCCTGGCCTTGGTTGTTGCTAAACCATTGAAGGGAACCATACCTAACAAACTGTAACTGTAGTCAGGGGTCATTTCCTGCAGGAGCGCACAGGAGCGGAGCTCCGGTAGTAAAGAGCCCAGGGGGCGGGCACATGCAACAAGCCCCGCCCCCCTGCTCCCAGCAGCCCTAGGTCAGGGCAAGAAGCAGCCAGGTAAGTTGCAGAGCTCCCCCCCGTCCCAGGGTCCAAAACAGTCCAGTGGGACCTTTAAGACCAGGTTTTATTCAGGTACAAGCTCTCCCTCCTCTGCGAGGACAGATCTGCAGGCCCCCACCCAATAGCTAGCAATCCAAAACAGTCCAGTGGAGCCTGAGCGATGGGTGTTGCCTTCTGCCACACTTCCGGTGATGTCAGGGTGTGTGGCATATGCTAATGAGTTATGCAATGAGCTCCTGCACCTCTTTTTCTACGAAATGACCCCTGACTGTAGTCATTTTATAGTTCTTTGAGCTAATGCCTCACTTCCCTACAGCTGCAATCCAAGCAAACACTGCTTTTTGTGCCTTCTCTTTAAATGTGTGTGCTTGTAAACTGCCCCGACCTTTGGAAGGGTGAGCATACATTTTCTTAAATAAAGTGGAAACTGACGACAAGTTGTACAGGGCACAGATGACTAGGGAGAAAACTAGCTGATGAACTGGTATTGGCATATGCTCTGATATCGTCAAAAGCTTATGTCTGCATTCTAGTAATAATTAACACTAAGTACAACATGCAGTATTAATGCTGCCATAAAGACAAAAAAAGCATAATTAACTATCAAAAAGGACCAGCGAGTGGCTTACAAAAAGCTTTTCATAAAACCAGTCAAGTAATTGCTGAGGAGTTTGGGCCTACTGTGGTAAAGGTTTCCCTTGCTCGAAAGCCAGTTGAATCCGACTCTAGGGTTGCAGTGCTCATCTCCGTTTCAAAGCCGAAGAGCCAGAGCTGTCCGAAGACGTTTCCGTGGTCATGTGGCCGGCATGACCAAACACCAAGGCGCACGGAATGCTGTTACCTTCCCACCGAAGTGGTACCTATTTATCTACTTGCAATTTCTTGCTTTCGAACTGCTAGGTTGGCAGGAGCTGGAACTAGAGACGGGAGTTCACTCCGTCATGCGGCACACTCGGGTCTCGAACTGCTGAACTACAGACCTTCCATAGCCTGCAGTTCAGCGTCTTAACCACTTGAGCCACTGCAGCTCCTTCCTACAGTGGTACACCTACTTAAATTCTCACCACAAAAAACCTGGGGTTGGATCTGACAATCTGCTAATAAAGGGTGATGATGGTCACAGATTCTGACCCCTCCCCCATCAGTCCTTTCCAGCCTTGAGATAGGAGCCATTTGGACTAATAGCCTCTTATGTCAGGACAACTCTGCTGACAGAGGAGAGGGCAATTTGGCCCCCTTCTCCCTCCCCACAGCAGCTTCCCTCCCCGCATGGCTATTAGTACATGCACGTTCAGGGACACTAGGAATAAGCTTTCCTGAGTTCAGAAATGGGAGGGGAACACAGAAAGATCCACAGTCCTTGTGTCTGTAGCTCCCTGGATCTAGCCCTTGATGCCAAAAGGCCTTCTGACTACTGGAATTGTTGAGCTGTGGGCTCTTGTACTGGTGCAGAGAGGCTGAAGACAGCATTCGCTCAAGGAACCTTACAACGAAGTCTAATAGCTGATCTCATGAACTGCTGTTCCTGCACAGTATCAGCCAAAGGTTGGAATGAAGAATCTTCTCATCTTGTGGCCACAAAAAATACAGAAATGCCTCAAGAACAGTCTGAAGGTGGCTGATGCACTTCTGTCTTGGGAGACGATGGAAGTATAGACAGACTTAGCCATTACTTGCCTGAGATACCATGTAAGCTGCCTACACATTTTGCTAAATTTTTGATTATTATTTTTTTACTTTTGAAATTTTCTTTGGATGCTATATGATTTCATTATACGGTTCTAGGGAAAATGCCTAATCTATACATGAATCTACATTTGCTGCTGGCAGATAGCTTCATCTCACTAATGCCACCCTTCTACTGCCACTCTGCCTCACAAAAAGATTTATTTTTTTACTAAAATATATCCTGATGTGTTTGCGTTGGTTCATATGCCCAAATTATTTATGTTGTAGTCCACCTTTCTCATTAAGACTCAAGGTGTGGGAATGGATAAAGAAGTTACTTTTTATGGTAGAGATGGACAAACTTACAAGGAAACCGAATAATAAGAATCCCGAAGGATTTTTTGCGGACTGGTTGGATTTTAAAGAATATTTAGAGAAAGATTGGGATGTGAAGAATAATTTGTTTTGTTTAGAGAATTATTAAGAACTAGAAATAATGCCCGTTGCAGAAATAAATACAACGGGATCTAGAAAGAGGCTCTGGGAGAGTGCTCTGGCTTTGGGCAAACAGTGTCAGTTTCCTGTGGCGACCTCAGCAGGGTTTAATGACAGAGTTCACTGTTTTCTCCAGAGGGACTGATCTCTGCTACCTGAAGAGCATTTGTATGTTTGAGTTATCTGTAGCCCTCACCTGGAGAGTGGTAACCATTGTTTCCCATTCCCCCCTCCCCTATGAGGTATGTTATGCAACTGAAAATCCCAACTGCCTTGCGGGGGGGGGGGAGTTTGAGGTGTGGAATGGACTGAAGTCCAATCAGCTTCCATGTGCAAAAGACCAGGTTGTCACAGCAGTTGTGGTGTGGGCAGGACCCGGGCTTTGCCTTCTGATTGGTGGCGATATATGCTGAGGAGCAGTGCCATCAGCCATACACTAAGGGAGTGCATTTTAGAATTAGAACTTTGGCACCCACTATTCAATTATATATAAGGAGAGATAGAGTATATAAACTCCGAGACAGAGAAAAGTCAAAAATGTATGTATTGAACTATAGTTTACCGGTATAGAAATAAGTGTTTTGGTTGTTTTTGTTAGAGATAAGAAGATCAAGAAGAAAAGGTATAAGGGAGAGGGTGGGAGCACTGCGGGAAGCCTGACGAAGAGGGGGTGGGAGGAAGGAAAAGGGATATGCATCAATTATAATATTTAGATGTCAAACGTGATGTAATATTCCTATAATAAAAATTGTTTGTTTGTTTTTAAAAAGACTCAAGGTGGATTACACAGAGTGACTCAATACAATCAACAGGATGGGACATTCAATGAACAATGCAGTAGGATTAGGACAGTAAAAAATTGGAATGTGCATCAGGATACAACTGTTTCAATGGGAAATGCCTAATGGGGAACATTATTTTATAAAGTTGTCAGGGAAACACAAAAGAGAAAAGGCATTCAAAGCAAGTAACACATACGTTAAACTAGGGTATGGTGTTGATGTCCCAGTGAATACACATACGTAAGGCTTTGAGTTAAACTGCGAAATCCACAACTGGATTTTGATCTGGGCGGTTCCATATTCAAACGGCACAAATGCAATGACCACTTCTGCTTTCTCCTTGGCTGGGATTATTCCTATAGTAAGTGAAAATATGAATTAAATTGTGCAATAACCAGGAATTCACACCCATCAATGTTTTTGACTGAAAGAAATGCAGTGAGGAAGATTTAGGAGTTATCCACCACCAGGGATTTTTGGAGCCCAACCTGAGATGCCATAAAGGTAATATGATCATGACCAGCTGACTGGAAAGCAAGGTCCGTGTGGTATAAAAGTCAGTGGCACCTTTTGGCAAAAAAAGATGGTTCTCTCTACAGCTCATTCTTTTTAGAAAGCTTCTCAGTGTTACCGCTGCAGTTATTTGTCCCAATTATTTTCACTCTCTTTTATCTGCAAAATGTTGCATTCAGTCTGTGTTTTCCCTTTCCACCAACAACCACTTCTGGGTGAAATCCACAGAATTACAAGTGGGGTTCCGCTTGCAGACAAGGTCTTCCTGCCTCCTGGCACCAGCAAACCCGTGCATGTGTCTGCAAAGCTGATCCTGAGGGCCATGGGGCCCATGGGAACAATGTGGAATGTGTCAGGGACTGCAGGGGAAATCAGCAGAAATCATGGTACCCCTTTCCTTGCATGACCCAAAATCTTTTTCACTCATGCAAGCAGGCCTTTCAGTCCCTTCTACCACTTTGCTGGAGCATAAGAAGGCATTTTGGCTACAGAACAGTTGCTTCTGCTAGTGATCAACAGCACAGGCAGCCTTGTGGACAGAGTCTGAGAATGTTGCCCTAAGCACACGCCAGTTTGGTGTAGTGGTTAAGTGCGCGGACTCTAATCTGAGAGAACCGGGTTGGATTCCCCACTCCTCCACTTGCACCTGGCTGGATGACCTTGGGCAAGCCGTAGTTCTGGCACAGCTGTTCTTGAAAAAGAGCACTTTCTGTCAAGGGCTCTCTCAGCCCCACCTACCTCACAGGGTGTCTGTTGTGGGGAGGGGAAGGGAAAGGAGTTTGTAAGCCGATCTGAAACACCTTTGGGTAGTGAAGGGCGGGGTATAAATCCAATCTCTTCTTCATCTTTATTATTGTATTTAAAAGTTTTAATTGTATTTACTGTATTAATAATATGATGTAATCTGCCCTGAGCCTGCTTGCAGGATGGGTGGGCTATAAATACTACTACTACTACTAACAACAACAACCACTACCTTGAATTAAGTCCCACTGCATTTGGTGGAACTTACTCTTGAGTAACCATGTTTAGAAGCAGGCTACTACAGAAAGAAAACTGGGCAGTTTACAGCTGTAGCAATGAGACTACCTAGATGATTAGATCTGCTTAACAGGAGATCCGTTCCTTAATTTGTGAATAAAATGTTTTCAAACAAATATACTAGATAGATAACCTTAAAGAGTACTGAACCAGTGCTTCCAGTCTGAGGTCGTACCAGAGATGGGATGGATGGTAAAGGCTTTGTGAGCCTGAAGATACTCAATGTGGAACTCAAAATCGATGGGACAGCTGCACTGCAAAGGGATCACATATTCCTTACTGGGGGGAGAAAAAAGATGAAATGGAATAAAATAATTCAGTTTGTATTTGCTGACATCTCTACCCAGCTACATCACCACAGAAGGATACTGAAAAGGCAGCTTAAAACCTTACACCCCAAAGCCACAAATGTGCAATTTCTTCTGGTGGGTATTTAGAATTCTGCACAGCAATCAGGGGTCATTTCCTGCGGGAGCGCACAGGAGCGGAGCTCCGGCAGTAAGGAGCCCAGGGGGCGGCCACATGCAACAAGCCCCGCCCCCTGCTCCCAGCAGTCGGGCCAGAGGAGCAAGAAGCAGCCTGGTAAGTTGCAGAGCCCCCCCGGGCCCGCCTTGAGGTACAAGCTCTCCCTCCTCTGTGAGGGCAGATCCGCGGTCCTCCCCCCATAGTTAGCAATCCAAAACAGTCCAGTGGCACCTTTAAGACCAAGTTTTATTCAGGTACAAGCTCTCCCTCCTCTGCCAGGACAGATCTGCATGTCCCCCCCCCCCAATAGCTAGCAATCCAAAACAGTCCAGTGGAGCCTGAGTGGTGGGTGTTGCCTTCTGACACACTTCCAGTGGTGTCGGGGAGTGGCATATGCAAATAAGTTAAAATAATAAGTTATGCTAATGAGCTCCGGCACCTCTTTTTCTACGAAATGACCCCTGACAGCAATACTAGACCTATGGCAATAACAACCAAAACACAAACACATGTTCTGTACCCTGTCCCTTCATACCCATTTTCACTGTGGAAGACCAGACCTGATCTACATGTGCAACAAAATCAGGTGGCAGAACCATGTAGGTTGCAGGTGGAGGGTTCCGGTTTTTAAAATGCCCCCTCACATTAAAAAACACAGAAATGGACAACCTATCGCATACAGAAATAGCCTGTCAAGAGAAAACTTCTCCCTGATGCCTAAATTCAGAAGATTTTACACTCCAGAGCACTCAAAACCCACATTCCCTCACATGTAGTCTGAAGGAAGAGGGTCTAGGCAATATTCTTCCATGTAATGCTGAACATCGGCTTTTATTTGGGAGGTTAACACCATTTGCTACCAATATGGCATCAGAACTGTGCCCCTTAGTATGCAATATGTTTGGATCTCCAACTACTTCATCCTTATTGGACACCCTAATGCATTTTCCAAAGGCTGCATCTCTCTCTCTGATGGGAGCAATCTGTGTGTGTCTGGATGTAGCTAGTCAAAACAGAACAGCTTTGAAAAAAAATACTGCCTATTCTTGAACATGATAAAAAATACAATTTATTCAAACAACTCCTTCATTTTATAAACTATTTGACTGTAATCCCATCTAGCCAGATTAGCAAGGAATGTAGTTTACATACAGCATTTCTCTGAAATGTATTTTGAAAAATTTAGACAACATGGAACAGAAATAGGGAGGTCCACTGATTGGTGCATTAAAAAAAAAATCCAGTTTTGAGGTAGCCATTGTGGTGTTCTTGCTGACAGGGGGATGTGTGGACAGGATGAGATTGATGGGTTAAGCAATGGAAAATGGGATTCAGAAATGTAAAAATGATACACTTACCCTGACTATAAAGGCAACATTTGTGAAAATATGAGGTTGGATCCAGACAGCTTTTTTTATTCAATTCTGCCTGATTCTCCATTACATTAACCACGTGTCTTTTGACCATGCAGATCCCTTGATCCCCAGCACAGCCTTTTGGGTGGCAAAAAGGGATTCTTTCCTCCCTTTTTCACCAGTGGAAAAGCTGGTTGGATCCAAAGGAAGTACTTCTTCACCCAAAGAGTGATTAACACATGGAATTCACTGCCACAGGAAGTGGTGGCAGCTACAAGCATGGACGGCTTCAAAATAAGCATATGGAGCAGAGGTCCACCAGTGGCTATTAGCCACAAGGTATAGATAGGGACTCTGGGGCAAGTGATGCTCTGTCTTCTTGGTGCTTGGGAGGGGGTCAACAGTGGGAGGGCTTCTAATGTCCTGGCCCCACTGGTGGACCTCCTGATGGCACCTGGTATTTCTGGCCACTGTGTGACACAGAGTGTTGGACTGGATGGGCCTTTGGCCTGATCCAACATTGGTGTCTCTTATGTTCTTAACCCATAATCAACTTTTAAAAGCAAAGATGGTTCTATGAGATCACTGCCTATATTTGTAGCTAGAATTCTGAGACAAAGTTAACAGCTTAAAGGTTTCCTTTTATAGCGGCTTTTCATGATGTTAAGGAGAGGGACTTTAGAAGAATTATAGGCCTGGATGCCATAGGCTGGCCAAGCCTGCTGCAAATTTCAGCTCTGAGTCCTACCCCATCAAGTCGTATCTACAGCCTTTTAGCATGAACTGAAGCCCCTTGAGGTCTCATTGTTCTTTGCTTCTATTATAACAGCAGGAAAATTCAGCAAATTAAGGCTAGCATTGTATACTGGAGGCAAGTCAGCTGCTACCACCACCATGCAGGAGACCATTTTTCATGTTTTCTCAGCTCTAAAAAATCGCCAGCCTTCAATTTGTCCTCTCATATGTCAAAGACTATAAGGAAGGCCGAGCGCCGAAGAATAGATTCTTTTGAACTATGGTGCTGGAGAAGACTCTTGAGAGTCCCTTGGACTGCAAGGAGATCAAATCAGGCAATCCTAAAAGAAATCAACCCTGACTGTTCCCTGGAAGGCCAGATAATGAAACTGAAGCTCAAATACTTTGGCCACCCAATGAGAAGGGAGCACTCCCTGGAGAAGACCCTGATGCTGGGAAAGATTGAAGGTCAAAGAAGACGGGGACGGCAAAGGATGAGATGGTTGGACAGTGTCATCGACGCAACAAACATGAAATTGAGCCAACTTCAGAGGACGGCGGAAGACAGGAGGGCCTGGCGTAATCTTGTCCATGGGCTCGCAAAGAGTTGGACTCGACTGTGCGACTGAACAACATGTCAAAGACTTCTAAAAACCTCCTTAAGGGTGATGGGCTGGTCAAAAGATTCAACCACAAAGTGCTGATGTGTGAAGACTCGCAACCCCAGGGTAACGCCACCACCAGTCCCCTTAACCACCCCATCAGCCAGAGACCAAGGGAAGAAGTCTCCAGCCCTCCTGGATCTAAGTTCAAGAAGTCAGCCCCGCAGGGTAGCACGCTTGCAAGCTGAGTTCCAGAAAACAGTTATGCTGGCAGCTGTAGCCAATATGGGCTAAAGTACTGGATTCAGATTGAAGCCCCAAAACTGCAGACCACCACAAATTATAATTAAAGTGATTTCTTTGAATCCAGGGTATAATTCTGGGTATAAGCTTCTGTGTGCATGCATACTTCTTCAGATTCCCTCAAGCCTTAGATATGGGGGTGGGGGTTTAGTTGCCAGGAAGGGGTAGTTCTCACATCTGTTTGTTAACTCTTGTATTTGTATGCTAATTTGCTGCCATGCACAGGTCTTGCCAAACGTTTTAATCCAAGCTCACCTATACTTATCACCCAGTTACTTCTGTACGTTGACTCTAACTAGCCCTTCCAGGCTTGAGGAAAACTGTTTCTATGTATCTGAAGAAGTGTGCACGCACAGGAAGGCTTATACCCAGAATTAAACTTTGCTGTCTTAGAGGTGCCACTGGACGCTTCAGACCAACACGGCTACCCACCTAAATGCGACCAGCAAACATTGAAGATAAAATAATACAGCGAAATATCTAACCGAAGCACATTTACAAGCAGTGTTTCTAAATCCAGATGTTACCAGGTAAGATTGAGCCCAACACAATTTCAAAGTCCAAAACAGGGGCTCCAGCCAGCACAGCCCACCCAGAATCAAGAAGAGGTGTCTCACAGTTAGATGTAATCCAGGCAAAGGGCAAAACTAGAATGAAAGTTCTTTCCTTTATGCCCAATGACCTGCGTTGACATTGATCTAGTTGACCAATCAAATGTATGGCCAATGATGTAACTTTACCAATCAGTATATTGCTAACCAGGTGACCCAACCAATCACATAATGAGACCATATACTCTCCAGCTATATGGGGCCTAATCAAGCAAGCACCTTCTCCTACCCATGGGTCCTTGCAGTAACGAGACTGAATGGCCAGGCCAAACTCCCTCCCAGATTCTTCAATTCTGAAACTGCTAGGCCTAATGGACGGGACAGCACCTGTGTTGGCCTCCCATCCCCCTTATCTCACTCTCTGAAGCTGCAGTCAGCTTGACCTCAGGTTCTCAGAGAAAGAAACGTCCATGATTTTTACTAGGTCTCAGCCTGAACCAATGTTTCCAAATAGACAAGAGATTGTCAGGCAAACCAGTCTCTTTACAATATACATGCCACTTTTTATTTTTGATAACTGCCTGAATGAAGGGAATTGTGCAGACTGCAAACATTTACAAAACTAAAATCCAGTTATCAATGGATTATCAATACTGTCCCAAAAGAAATCTTTTCAGCCTTGGAGAGAAACAGCACAGCAAGTGACAGCCGCAGATAATCTTACAGAACGACAGCAAGTGACAGCTGCAGATAATCTTACAGAACGACCCAGTGTCACGGTGGGTATTGAAAAGACAAATGTGTACATATTGTACACTAAAGTTAAATGAAATTTTATATCCTGATTGAATGGCTTAATATTTTCAACAGAATTACATGTCTTTTACATGTTTTTCCTCCAAGTTCTTATTATGCAAATTGTTTTAGCAATGCATGAGAAACACTTTAAAATGTGAAATTATTGCTGTAATAACTCCTTACCGCTGTCCCAGTGTAACATCAGAGAAATTAATATAGGATGGAAATTCTACAGCATTCATCACAGGATAGGCGTGTATGGGAACCAGCAAAGTGTCATCTCCCTGGAAGGGAAATAAGAAGAAAATTACCAAGTTGCTTACAAAGATTAACAATGTTTCATGTGCAAGGGGCAGCTATCTATCCGTTCCCATACAAGCAAGGGACAACGGTCCAGTGAAGTTAATTTTAGACTCTGAACTTAGGCCCTTCCACTTAGACGATAATGTATACTTCAAATGTGAAGTTACAGCCTGCTTTGGGGTGGGTGGGATCCCCAAACAAATCATTTGTGAATACGGTGAACCAGGACATATTTTCTTTTCATCCACAGAGGCAGAAGACCACAAGCTAGTCCGTTGTGGTGTCTCACCTCAGAATGGATTCGGATGCAGTCATAATAATATCGCCACTCATCAGGACAGAAGTCGACGGTAATTGTAAAGGACAAGCCAGGCACAAGTCGTTGCTGTAAAACAGAGCAGAAACAGTTTCCCGGAGAGTGCTCCAAAGGCACTGACACGGCAATATGATGACATTCAAAAAGGAAGCAAAGAATGGAAGACCAAAAACTTCGAAGGCTGCTGCCGACACTTACTGTTTTGCTGTATTTGATCTGGAAGTACTTCGTCTGGGGCGGAATAATGTGAACGTTTATAAGATTGCCAGAAATATTCACAAGTTTCTGTAGAACGAGATAAGGATTTTTAAAGGAAGTCAGAACGTACTCATGGTCTCTTTTTTATTTGAATAGGTATTTTCATACTTAACAAGACATCCATGTAAAAGTATCTAGTTAAGCGGGAAAAGGCAGCAGGTACTTGTATTATCTCATCCAGCTTACTAACTAAAAACAGTTTCATTACCTACCAGAGTTTGTTGGTGATGTTTCTCGATTTCATACCCTCCATAATGCATTATGGCAGGCTTAGCCTGTATCACATTATTTCTTAAGAGCTTTGAATAAATTTCTGAAATTATAAGAAAAAACAAAAAGAATCGACTTACTGTATCATACTGATGGGCTTCATCCAGCCAAAGCTCACTTTAATTAATTCCCATTATCCTAGGCATAAACTACCGTGGGGGGGGGGGCCCTTGGGGGGCTAGTCCTCCCATTTTTTTCAGGGAGAAAGAGCCCCCCCCCCCCCCCCGCCAAGCAGTGCCTGGCAATATTGAGTTTAAAACTTTCCTGTGTGGGTTATTTTACTTTGGCGTCAGTTTTTCCCTTCCAGGCTCCCTTTCTTACAAATGCTAATTCAGCTAGCAGGATAGACAATTGGGATTGTTAAACATCCCAGTTCTCCTCCCCCCTCTCTTCCAGCAGGGAGGTGTCAAATGCTAGTCTTTAGGACCTTTAGTTGCCATTACCTCAGTGGGGAAACAGATTTGATAACATTCCTTGCCACAGGAAGAGGTTTTTCCATGGTAGTGAATGGGGGGCTGCTTCAGCCACTCCTAAGCTCTTTTTTCAATTTCCATTTCATTTTTAAATGGTAAGCCCATCTGCATGAACAAAACTGGGGGGGGGAATGCAGATCAGAGGCCTTTTAAAATTTCCTTTAGCCCCGTGTGCAGCTGAGAGAGAACACTGGCAAAGAAAATGCACTCTGTACATGTTCCCACTCTTCATTTTGCTGTTATTTAAAACGGTGTGGTATAGTTTCAAAGGGGCAACCAACTTGTATGTACTAAAAGGAATGATGGAATTGCCTATTGGAAACAATGGGAGAGGCTTGAAGGCCCATTGGAGATAATGGGAGCCAGTTGGATGGGCTCCACTGAAATACACTGCAGCACGAAAAAAGTTGCAAAGGAAATGCAGAATGGTTTTTCCATTAAGGTCTTTGGGTCCAGGCAGGCTACTCTGGGCCTGGAATGACAGCCTCCAGAGTAAAACAAATTTAGAGTCCAGTGGCACCTTTAACCCCAACAAAAGTTTATTCAAGCTTTCATGTGCACGTACACAAGACAGTCGCTAGGAACAGAATCTGTGTTCTGGGACTAGAATGACACCCCCCCAGAGTGGAATGACAGCCCCTGGGACTCAGTGCGCTGGGACTGGAATGACAGCCCCCAAGTGGAACGACGGCCCCTGGGAGTGGCAGAGGTGTTCTGGGACTGGAATGACAGCCCTTAGAGTAGAACAAGAGGGGGACCCGCGATACTCGCGGGGGACAGGGTCGCCATAAGTCAGCTGTGATCTGACAGCATTATCCACCACTACTACCAGTTC